CTCCATCCCAGGGGAGTACTGACCGGTTGCCTGCACCAACACACCTGTAGGAGGTGGATGGAGACCCCTGTTGAGAGGTCTCACCCAGTCAAGAGGAACAGGATCAGGGACCCACTTAAAGAAGTCTGGCTGCTTTTTGGTAGAGTAAGTGTGCTGTGTTGGAGGGACTCTTTCCTATCCAGATCATTTGTATCCTCCAAAGTCAGCAGGCTGGAACAGCTGAGTCAACCAAACCACAGAGAATGCAGCTGCCCCTCCACATAGGAGCTCCTTCCCAAGGAGAGATGAGAGCTCTATTTGTAGAATCCTGGCTGGAGTGTCTGAAGCCCCTGAGGGGAGATCCCGGGTAATAAGGAGGAATGGATCAGGGTCCTGCTTAAAGAAGCAGTCTAACCAGAATCTAGCAAGGCAGCTATGCTGTGTTGTGGAAGACTCTTCCTCGTCTGGATCATTTGTATTGTCCAAAGCCATTAGGCTACTACTAGTCTACTACTGAACTGCAGAGATGGTGGCCACCCCTCCCCCCACTAGCATGGCTATAATCAAAAAGATAGATAATAGCTAGTGTTGGCAAGTGTATAGACTGAATTGTATCCCCCTAAGATTCCTGTGGTGAAGCTCTGGCCCCCAATGTGATTGTATTTGAAAATAGGCCCTTTAGACAAGTACTTAAGGTTAAATGAGGTCATAAGGGTAAGATCCTAATCCAGTATGACTGGTATCTTTATGAGAGAAGGAAGAGACACCATGGATATGTGCACAGAGAAAAGGCTATGTGAGGACACAATGAGAAGGCAGCCAAGGGAAGAGCAACCAAATTTTCTCATACCTTGATCTTGGACTTCTAGTTTCCAGAATTATGAACAAATACATTTCTGATGTTTAAGCCACCCAGTCTGTGGTATTTTGTTTGGCAGCCTTAGCAAACTAATACAGCAAGAATGTGGAGAGATTGGGACCCTTATATACTGTTGGTGGGATTGAAAAATGGTACAGCCACTTTGAAAAACAGTCTGGTAGTTACTGAAACAGTTGAACATAGAGTTACATATGACCCAGCAATCTCTGGGATAATGAAATGTTGTAAAATTGTGGTGATAGTTGCACAACTCTGTGAATATATTAAAATTCATGGAATTGTACACTTTCAATGGAGGAATTATATTTAAATACATCTTGATAAAGATGTTAAAATCAATACTCAGATTTTACTGAACAAGGGTCAAAGTATATGTGTAGCTCAGATGTGGTGGCTCATGCCTGTAATCCCAGCACTTTGGGAAGACAAGGCAGGCAGATCACCTGAGGTCAAGAGTTCAGACCAAAGCCGGGTGCGGTGGCTCAAGCCTGTAATCCCAGCACTTTGGGAGGCTGAGGCGGGTGGATCACGAGGTCAGGAGATCGAGACCATCCTGGTCAACATGGTGAAACCCCGTCTCTACTAAAAATACAAAAAATCAGCTGGGCATGGTGGCGCGCGCCTGTAATCCCAGCTACGCAGGAGGCTGAGGCAGGAGAATTGCCTGAACCCAGGAGGCGGAGGTTGCGGTGAGCCGAGATCGCGCCATTGCACTCCAGCCTGGGTAACAAGAGCGAAACTCCGTCTCAAAAAAAAAAAAAAAAAAAAGAGTTCAGACCAGTCTGGCCAACATGGTGAAACCCCGTCTCTACTAAATACAAAAACTTAGCTGGGTGTGGTGGTGCATGCCTGTAATCTCAGCTACTTGGGAGACTGAGGCAGGAGAATCTCTTGAACCCGGGAGGCAGAGGTTGCAGCTGAGACTGTACCATTGCACTGCAGCCTGGGTGATAAGGGCAAAATTCTGTCTCACAAAACAAGTATGTGTATAAATAGTTCATTCATACATGAAGAAACTCAGAAAAGTTAATTTTGGGGAAATTATTAGCCTTGCTGCAGTGCTAATTGAAAATTACAAAAAAGAATATTGATGGAGTTAAATTGATACAATTATTTATTAGAACAACTGTTTTCAAGAGTGCTATAGCAAAGCACACGATCTATGAAATTTTCAGCTAATAATCTACATTTGGGAATATAGTCAAAACTTTTCAAATACCCAATAATTGGGAAGATACGTAGATACAATAATTGGGATTAAAGTAGCAAACATGGGCTATATTATAATAATAAATGGAAAAGTATATATAAGATAATGAGAAAAGTAGAATACTAATTAGTTTGCAAGTGCTGATGACTGTACATAAGTAAGGCTACATTGTTGAATATAATGAAGATAAATTAGTAAGACATGGTACCAGAATTCCTCTTAGGGAGAAAAAAAAACCTATCTTCATTTGAGAAAATACCCTGATAAACTGTTTCAGGTATAAAATGAGACTCTGAAATATGGGTATGAGCAGAAGCCCTGGCAACACAAGAAAAACTGCCCTGCCTAAACACTGAGAGAAATTAACTTTTGCTCCCAAGAGAGAGAAAAATATAAAGTGATAAGAGATGAGCCAAGCAAGGAGGAAAGGGGAGAGACAAGTCAAGGGGAAAAGTCTGGGTGGTACATAGAATTAAGGAATAATGGGGAAAGAGTTGAAAAATTGATTTTATAGAACAAGAGTGTCTAATACATAAATATAAAGTTATTTTTCTAAATCTTAAAATCTCACGAAAGCTTTTTGTGAATGGGGTTTTGTGGAAACTGAGGGAAAGGCTGATATTGAGGTGGTTGGAACAGTGAAAAGACAATGCACATGGAAGTAGGGGCTTGGGGGTAGAAGGGACAGATGAAAATAAGCCCCTCAGAAATTACTGGTAATCGGACAGGCGTAGCAGCTCATGCCTGTAATCCTAGCACTTTGGGAGGCTGAGGCGGGTGGCTTACTTGAATCCATTAGTTTGAGACCAGCCTGGACAACATGTTGAAATCTCGTTTCTGCAAAAAAATTGGCCAGGCATGTTTCTATAGTCCTAGCTACTAGGGAGGCTGAAGTGGGAGGATCAACTGAGCGAGCAAGGTCGAAGCTGCAGTGAGCCAAGGTCATACCACCATACTATAGCCTAGGTGACAGAGAGCGACCATGTCTCAAAAAAGAAAGAAAGAAAGAAATTACTAGTGATGGTAATCTTTGAAGGGCTATGGACACCCAAATTGGATGTCTGGGACGACCTTATTTAGATTGCAAAGAGAAGGGAGGCTCTAGCTGACATTTTCCTTACATAAGGATAAGAAGATAACATGATGTAAATGTAGATATTTTAACTTTATGGTATGAATTTTTTTTAATTGCATTTGCTCTAACAACATTGATTCCCATTTACTAACTAAAACGGAATGAATGGATCCTGGTTAAGCTCCTGCCTCAGTGAAATCCAGCGGACACGATTCAAGTGTACCTGTATGATGAGTAGGAGAAATGGAAATGAATCTGTAAAATGTAACAATTTATGCTCACTGTCTCTTAGCAGTGAAGTTGGAAGGAATCTAGGTGAGGCCATCCAAATTTGGAGAAATTATCCTTTTTTTTTTTTTTTGAGACAGGATCTTACTCTGTTGCCCAGTTTGGAGTGCAGTGGTGTACACACAGCTTCCCGTAGCTTTGACCTCCCAGGCTCACTTGATCCTCCCACCTCAGCCTCCTGAGTAGCTGGGACTATAGGTGTATGCCACAATGCCCAGCTAATTTTTATATTTTTTTTTTATAGAGATGAGGTTTTGCCATGTTGCCCCGGCTGGACTTGAACTCCTGGGCTCAAGCAATGTGACCACCTTGGCCTCCCAAAGTGCTAGGATTACAAGCACAAGCCACCATGCCGCGCCAGGAAAATCATTCTAGTGTATTCTATGTTGAAGTGTTACTAGAGCAAAAATATGATCAAATGTTCAAGAAGGGTGGTATATAAGAAAAATTCAAAAGAATGAATGTGTAAATGACACTCTCAGGGAGCATTTAGAAGTTATTAATTGCCCAACTCCAGAATTCATGACTTCCATTGATTTGGCCAGAGGAGGATTACTAAACAGCCCTGATGGCAGGTCTGTGGCACAGGGCCCAGAACTGATTTTCCCAAGGTTATAGAGCAAGCCAAAGGGTGAGTTGAAAATAGAACTGTACCTCACATTCTCATGCGGCTATATGATAACTTGTGTACTGTCAGCAAAGAGTTGAGGAATGAATGTCCTGGAGAGGTTAGCATAGTTTTATGGCTAGAGGAGTCTTGCTCAATAATTGCAAACGTTACTTGACAAGAGCAAATGACCTACCTAATCTTATAAACAGTAACATTCTGGGCACTTAGGCAAAATCTTCAAAGAAAATAAAATGCCTGTTTGACAATTGAAAAAGAATTTTAAATGCACAGCTTTTAAATTTTAAATACACACTTTTGTAATGCTTAAGCCTATAGTCACCTTCAGCCTTCCCCACTAAAGACTAAACTTTCAAGTGGTGACTCCTCAACTCTGTAATATCAGCCAGCTTATAGGATCTTGCAGAGTGTCTAAATGTTTTCATAAGTGTGGATTTTCTAAAGACTAAGTTTCTAAAGACTAAGTTTCACTGGTAACTTTCTATAAGTTTCCTTACTGAATTAACAGAACTACAAAGGAAAATGGGAAAGTCTGATAGTTATGACTTTAACTAAATTTAGTGGCTCAGCCACTAAATTTAGGTCTCTAGGTAGCCAGGCTATGGAGAGATCGTTTACCTAGCTGTGATGCGTATACCTGGGGATGTTTTAGGAAAACAACAAAAGCTAGGTCCACTATTATGTGACTGTTCTCTAGGGTGGCTTCTTACACTATACTGATCTATTCAATAGAGAGCTTAAAATTTTATGTTTTCAGGAGTGTGTTCATCCCATTCCCACTTTTCAGAAAGAATTTTTAAAAGTGATTTCTCTATAAATGGGCTAACACTTTCGGTCCAGCCCTAAGTGAGACTATCACAATCACAGGAATTCTTGACTCCTGGTTTCCTCGCCTTCAAATACAGAGCTACACTGTTACTGCTTCTGATCTGTTCTTCAGAGTCATGGTCCTGACCAGAAAATAACATCTAAGTGTACAACAGAAGAAAGAAAACTAGAGGTCCCACAACTATTTCTCAGCAAGCTGTCACTGACTGATAAACTGGTGATAGAAGTCAGCCCTTCCATAGCATAACATTATAACTGAAAGTATCTTAGAGGTCCCATAAAAAGCAGGAACTACAGAACTACTTGGACAAAATGTATGTCAAAATCATCCACCAATAAAACCTGATGTATTAGAAATGTTGCCTTGGCCGGGCGTGGTGGCTCAAGCCTGTAATCCTAGCACTTTGGGAGGCCAAGGCGGGTGGATCACGAGGTCAAGAGATCGAGACCATCCTGGTCAACATGGTGAAACCCCGTCTCTACTAAAAATACAAAAAATTAGCTGGGCATGGTGGCGCGTGCCTGTAATCCCAGCTACTCAGGAGGCTGAGGCAGGAGAATTGCCTGAACCTAGGAGGCGGAGGTTGCGGTGAGCAGAGATCACGCCATTGCACTCCAGCCTGGGTAACAAGAGTGAAACTCTGTCTCAA